ACTTTTATTTTCCATTTCCCCGATGATCCTACCCCGATACCTATAACCTCTCGTCACAAGCACCTTGGCGTTACACTTGATAGCAAATTGGACTGGTCCCACCATTTCCAGAATCTGGAAAAGCGGGCAAACTCAGTCGTCGGTATTCTTTATGACCATCTCCCCTACATTTCACCAGAATGCCGAAAGACCTTTTATCATACATACGTTTTGCCTATTTTCTTGTATTGCTGTGTGGTGTGGTGTGGCGCTGGTAATGGCCTCTTTGCAAAACTGGAGATTGTGCATCGACGGATTCTCCGGGCAATACTTCGTTTGCCGCCCGAGACCAACATAGCCGTTCTCTATGAAAATTGCTGTACATTTCCTCTGAAACATTACATTGACCGATCCTCCTGCGTATACATTCACAAAATCAAACTTATCGCTGCCCCTCAGCATGTGCAGCATTCCTTAAGGGGGCAGCCTACCCATAAATTTCATATGGCATTCAATTGACCGTAACTTTGGTGTTTCTCAGTGGATTTGAGTGACATTTTGACCACACACTCCTGCCACTGGCTCTCAGGACATGATTTACAAGTTCTTGCGCCTCACTGACAGGCTTTCCAGGCCGGAAAAACTCAAATTTCCGGCATAGTGTGCGAGCCACCCAGGAGCCAAACAAATGCATTTACATTTTTTTCACATTTTCGTGCCCATTCTGTCCGTGCGCGGGACCCAAACCTAAAACAAGTCCAGAAGCAGCCATGGGTGGTGGGGTAGGGCCCCTCAACGTGGCCCTGGAATCTGTCACAACGGAACGAGTGGGCGTTCTCTCACGGACTCCCACAGACCTAAGTCATTATTTTTGATTTTTTTAGGTTTAGCACGTGCTACGAGGCCGTACCTTTGATACAACATCCAGTGCTGGGACCTCCACAGCAAGCCATTTCCACAGCGCTGCACACCAAATCCAGGATGCCCTCAGAAACCGGCAAAGACTGCCACTCACGTTTCACTACTGCCTAGTACTGAATCCTACCTGACTTCTTGACACGACTCAAACTTGCCAAAGTCACTAAATCAACGTCAACTACAATAATAAAACCACATATCTGCAACGTCACGAGGGTGCTGGCAAAAGTCCTGCTGCCGGCAAAAGCGCTTATTCTTATTAATTTTTGTGTTTCTGTTTCGGTATAATTCGTATTTCAAGGCATACTCCGAGGCTATAGGTATTATTGAGTAAAGGACCATTCTGGAACATTCAGCATAATTGTATCTCTCTAGCTAGGCTTTTCATTACCAATCATTAGCCCTCAACGGGCTGCTATCTCAACCCTACAGCCTCCCACTATAATGGAACTCCCTTCAATTTAGACTACGTCTTTGGGAAATCCTCAAAATATATTATTATTATTATTATACGCATTCCCGCGTTGAAGTGTAGCAGCAGTATGCTGCGTCCACAGCTTCGCTTATGCAGAATGGCTTGGGTAAGAGGAGAGGGGAGAGAAAGCAACAAGGCAACCAACATCTATGAAATTGGTCACAATAACATGAAGAGAACCAACCTACATACATGTGCGCATGATTGCACAAGAATGGAGACGACCAAATATAACGGCTATAATCATTGTGCCACAAAACCGGTACACAGGAGATCTGACGACAATGTAACGAAACATAAAACTCAGTTACTCAATACAGGTTCCACTAAATTACAAGAGAACAACGCTACAACGTTAGAATTGCCGCTAAATTATCGCAAGTGTAGAGAACGAGTCCAATACAAATGAAAACCATGAACAGACTGTCCCGAAAATATATAATAATAAAAAATAAAAAATAACTCCTAGTAATGTAATAAACGGGGGTGTGACTTTGGTAATTCCAAGGAGAATGTACGCACGGCCATTCCACAACGAAGACGAAACTACGAGCTCAAAAACACTCCGATTTTCAAACAAACGACGCAGGAAAGAAGACATGGCCGCAGTGTTCCCGTGTGGCCTTCAAAACACCTAATTTTACTTCGATAGCGGCTGGTTCAGGGCAAATGCAGGCCCAATTCGACAGCCTCGTACCGCTCAGATTCGCCCAAAACACGAGGAAATGTACGGTAGATTCAAATGCGTACGCATTTTGCGTACGGGGACGACTGGGCCAGAGTTCATGCACTGCAAACACCCGTGACTTGCTCTACCCAGATCTGCAGAAGGCTAGATTTTGCATGCACGTGCGAAATTCGCATCCGCCTAGCACATAGGCAGAGTCGAGATTTTTGTACTCTCGGATTTGCCGCCATCTTGGCGAGTGGTCACTGCGAAACACCCCTGCTCCCTCAGACCGTCACGTCGCTTCCCGTCGATCCTTACGTCGCGTCCCGTCGCATCCCGTCGATCCTTACGTCGCGTCCCGTCGCATCCCGATGTGAACTAGGCTTTACATTTGCTAGTACTAGATTAGTACTCGCCTGTTGACAAAAATTAATAATTATAGTACCCCAGTCTGTGCAACCTTTCCACCAGTCCAAAGCACGCACAGTATACAAAGGCAAGTGTTTTCCCTTGTCATGTAATCACTGTCACTCACATACAAATACCGTCATAAAATACAAAACGCAAGTTTTTCTCATCTTTTTCTATTTCTTGTTTTTCATTAGCTTTTAATAATAGCATGTTCATTCACATTCTTCATCATTTGTGAGAACTAGACCTGGTCTAGTGAGAAGCCATCAGACAATCGGAGATGGAGAACTGTGTATCCCAGGATACTCAATTGCACGACGTGATCGTGGTAGACAGGGTGGTGGCGTAGCCATCTACTACTGCTCCACACTTCCGGCAAGACCGCGTCCTGACCTAAGCAAAGAAAACGTTGAAATCATATGGCTTGAAGTCAAGAGCAAGTCCGGACCTCACCTACTTGCATGCGTCTATCGACCGCCAAATGAGCCAATCGCCTACTGGACTCAGATAGAGCAAGAGCTTGAGCGGGCGTCCCAAGTGACACCGTCGATGACCCTACTCGGTGACTTCAACGCTGATGTATGCCAAGATAGTCATCAGGTGCACCACTTGCTTGATCTCTGCGACGTATATGGCCTGAAATATCACATTTTCTTACATGACACGTGATCGTTGCCGGGGCCATGGCCAATAGGTGATCTTCCCGCCGCGGGCATAATCAGGCCATCAGGACCGTTTGACGTCATTTCGGGAATGTTCGGACCGTTTGACGTCATTTCGGGAATAATTTTTCGACCTTTCAACCTTTCCACCTTTGACCTTCCCTAATAATATTATGTTGCTTCGCGATGTAAGAAATCAAATCAAACACGCTCTGTCTGTCATGATGGCTGAATCTTGCCCTTGCCTGCAGCCCTCGGGCCTACGGCCCTTGGGCTGCAGGCTCGGGCAAGATTCAGCCATCATGACCTTCTGAGCGTGTTTGATTACATACATCTTCCCAACACGTGTCACACCAGAGCATCCCCATGGAACTGTGATCGACCTTGTTCTTTCAGATCCCACCAACGTCTCCGCTTGCAGTGTTATTCCCTGTGACATCAGCGACCATTTCCTGGTGAGAGCGCATCTCCATCTCATCACTGCGCAAACTACTAGTCCTGCACCTCGCATCACTCGCCATCTACAGGGTAGGACTAAAGGGACAAGCTTATCTATTTTTGCAGATTTTCTTTCATAAAAAAAAGAAACGTCACAGCCAAGCCTTCGTACGTGGCCGCGTCGCAGCGGTCCGCGATACCGACCGGGAAGCTCGTTGCCTGGTGTAGGACACTTGGCCGTGGCCATTGCAAGGTCAGACGGATGAGCAACCTGAATCAGTCGCATGAAGTACACACACTGTACGAAGTAGTCTGGTGTATGTACCGTATGCATACCGTATTTTTCTTATCTCGTCTAGAGAGAATTTGTTGAAGGAGAAAAATTAATAATGATACGAACTGATTGTGATTATGCATTGCGCCAACTGCAATTACCGGTAATTATTTAGATGGTTCTTCCTCCGTCTGTTGGCTCTGGTAAAAGAATTAAAAGAGCTTTGTCGTTGGCAGATGTCAAGCCTAAGAACATCGTGGTAGCTTTGCAGTTGATGCTGTGCGAGTTGCAGGACTGTCTGCCTTGGAGCTTGAAATGGAGCTGTGCTTTTTCGATTACCCGAAAATCTGGCATTGTTATGGAGCGGCGGAAGTTTTTGATGCAAGATATGTGTGGCCGTGACGCACCAGTACATGAACTATATGCAGGGAAATCATTGTATGAATAGGCGCGAGGCGTCAGACACGTCTCCTGGAGAAGGGACCATGCTGAACATGCAAACGTACCAGAATTGTCCCATTGCCAGAGAATCACCTCAATTCATGTGCCTGATATCTGAGGATTTTAACTCGTGCTGCTTGAGAATTGGTCTACTCGATGCGGTGCAAGAGAGCATAGCAACATATCATCATGACTGGCATGATTTGTGGCCAGACATAATAGGGCCGTGAAGCAAGAGGAGATGTGCGAAATGATAGGCACATTAATTTCGCCTGCAGACTTGCACAACAGTATATTTCCAAGATCGTCTTTGCCGCAAGTGGATATGCGTTTTGTGGAACGAATGGTCAGTATACAGCGCGAGTCGCTATTCGATCGCTATGCCGCGACTTGGCCCACACATATCAATTATTGATATTGTAATCGCATAGCCTCTATTGGTGTCCAGCTGCCGACTGAAGGGATATGGCAGGGCTATTGGAACCGTCAATTCTACTTGATTGCAGGAGACATTTAACGAACCGCCAACCCTCAGTTTGTGGATTGTACCCTCCCAGCACTCCCATCACTATCAGCATTAGGTGTATACAGTACTAGCAGTCAAGAAGGAAAGAAACGATGTGTTCGTCTTTATCTCTCTTCATTATCATTCCTGCAATCTAGTCACGTGGGGACATAAGTCCACGTGTCGATGGCATGGATACGGCATACGCACCAACGCCCAAGCATGCATCACCAATCGTTCACACGACAATGCCTGCAGTATGTTCTCATGTCGTGCGTACTGCAAACATGGTGAAACACATGAGAGCAGTTGTTGTTGCGGCACGGCTTGGTCGGTAGCTGCGGAAATGCGCAGCTGGGGTTACAGCACTTAGGCTGCTGCGGACCTACAACACACATAAATACAAATACACACACACACACAAACATGCACACACACACACACACACACAAACATGCACACACAGTGTTGTAGCCTAGCATAATATTACTAATGCAAGAGAACACAATTTTTACCATTCTGCAGGTGCAACATATGCGAAGAAAAATAAATTACAAGCTACAGGACATGAACAAACCCGAAAGCTTTATTTGATTATTTCACAAATGAACGATGAACTCTGTCACCTCGATGCCGATTTAAAACTGAAATAGGGAAAATTGTGAGGATACTGCAAACAAAAACGAGCATACCTGTATTGCATCTTGTCCTTTGCTGTAGCCTATCTGTTGCGAATACTGGTACAGACGTAGCAGGCATTGGATACAACGTGGCTCCTGCAGAGTGAAGTAAACGCGCAGCTGTAATATGTTGACACACACGAACACGCAAGCACATACGTACACACACACATACATACACACCCACACACACAAACACATTAGCATGATTTTGCTCTCATGGGGCAGCTGGACACAAAATCAAAACATGATATGGATGAACAGATACTTATTATAGATTATTGGAGTGGATTACACCGAGCAACACCAATGGCTGTACAGTGTACAGATGCACACTGAAGACATCGCCACTTACGTTCGGGAGCTGCAGCCTGTTGTATTGAACTACTTCCCGTCAATGCTGTCAATGTGACGGAACCAGGTCTTGTCGAGGCTGTAAGAAATGTTTGAGGCATAAATTGGCAAGGAAAATAACGCGTGAATTATAATAGGGGGGAAACGTACATCTAGAACGTACAAGAAAATGTAATTAAGTGGGGAACGCAGCAAATGAAATTAACTGGGGAAAGGAAAGCCTACCACACACCTTTCTCACGCTGTTGAGCTTGTAGGAACTGCCTCCGCTCAGTCTCTCCGGAAACTCCGACACGACACCTGAGGTGTCTTTCGACTGCAGGTCGACCACGCTTGGCATGCCCTGACTCCAAGGCTGGATCAGGGACAGCAGTGCTATGTGTTTCGTGCAGTCTGCGCCTGGCGCTAAAGTGTTGGTTCAAGGTGAATGAAGACGCTGTGCAGGAAATCATACAGAATAGCACAAACAGTACTCTATCGGCTTTGGATAGCTAGCTATTTAGACTTGTTAGGTGGCATTTGCGGAACTCAAGTGACTGGCCAGGCCTATTACATCAAAGTCTAGCGAACAACAAACCTTTATGAAACCAGCTCACTAGCACACACAAGATCCATATCTGCGGAATCGACAATTTTTTATCTTGATTAACGACACTATACATACCCTCTTGGATAACCAAGCCAGACTCATCAGTGGGCAGACTTTTCGCAAGTTCTTCTGACAGCTTCTCCAGTTGAGCGCAGAGATTTTTTAGAGCACTTGAGTCTGTACAGACGAAGGTCTGTGCATCGATTACTTTGAGCATGTTTCGTGCTTGCCTTGCAGAGAGTTGGTTTTGTTGCTGTTGTGTCTGTACAAAAGGAAAGTAGTCGCAAATTTAAAAAAAATTAATAGAAAGATCAGAATTGTCGGAGAATATAATGTACAAGTTTTCAAACGTTAATTATGCAATAGGCGCACTCATATCACAGTCATAGCAACGGATATAATGTCCCATGCTATCATAGCGCGCCTATAGTTTCACGCAATGCATTATTATTAAGATTATTGTCTCCACGTAGCCTTTGTAAAAATGTTACTCAATGATTTTCTTTCAGGCGATTATATGCAAGGGAAAAAGGCTCAAAAAGCACAACAAGCTATAAACAAACTTACCCTGTGTAAAGGAATTTCATTTGAAACTGGATCTGACAGCTGGGCTCCAACTTCATGCGAGTTGTTCACCTGCTCGGGCACTTCCAAATCTTCTGAATGAACCTCACCATCTCCAAGATCGATGTCTAGTGTCATTTTGGGGCTGGAGCGGTACGTCTCGGGCAGCGACTCCCAGCTGCAGCCGGGTACATTCTTGAATACGGCAAACATATGTTTGCACGGTAGGGCTCTCAGATTCCAGTCCTCGCAAGAACATGAGGGTGTTTCAAAGCTAACGAGACGAGTCCTCCCAAATGACTTGACATTATACTGGTGATCCCCAACAGCTTCAACATTCTCTACAGGGAAAGAGGAGAAAATAATGATAAGTAGTTCTTAAAGGGATTGGTGCATGGGTGACTCAATATGGACTTTCTTAAGTTCCTTTTGCTAGAATACATGTGAAACCGTGACAGATTTTCATACATCCATGACCTGCACAGCACAAAAGTGGAGCGAGGCTTGTTTGTTGCAACTCTGAGATCAAGGAGATGCATATGCAGTACAGATTATGGACAATATTTCAAACCAAAGCCTACTAGGTACAATGAACATGAGGCCTGGCGATCGGTCAGAGCGTGAAGCGTTATAATAACGAACAATTACAGCGAAAACAGGCTCTCGTTACCTCGTTTTGTGGGCACTCAACAAGGAAAGACCTACCTGGCAAGTACTCCTGAGAAGACTGCTCGCGTTCCATGCAGTGCAGGATGACATTCCTGGGCCGGTCGCGTAGGTATACGGGTACGTAGTCGTTGTACCTGAAGAAACACAACGCAAATAACAGTTCCCGTACAGAGGTAAAGCAGTACATGTACTGTACATTGGGTGTCCAAACAGAGGAGTTGGGGTGTACAATTTAGATGCCAGTGACGTGAAATGTGGATATGGTCATAACAGTGAAGACGTTTACCTTCGGAAGGAGCTCAGCTGCATGATATTCTTCTTCAGGTTCTTATCTCGCTGCTCAGGTAGGAACTGCTCAATAATGATGGTAAAGGTATCACTAAGCGTCCTTTTCTTGCCGTTGTTACTTTTAAGGAAGGCATATTTGAGGACCTTTCAAAGAAGACAATCAGATAAGAATAGATATAGTCCGGCTTAATCCGCTATGCCAAATATGCGAACCTTGTTTTGGGCCTCGATCCCATTGTTCGTAAACACGTTGTGGTGGTATTCACGCTCTGTCCATGCCCTGGCCCACCGCTGTATGAAATAGAACACAATACCGAACACTCTCAGATACAACCAAGTACATTCTACCCTCCGAGCCATCCAACTCCGGACACACTAATCAATAAAAACTAATCAATCAAAATTTAATAACTATTCCTACTACTACTACTACTACTACTACTACTACTACTGCTGCTACTACTACTGCTGATCTTCGCCTTTATTTGAAAACAAACCGGGTGTCAGAAAGAAGAAACTGAAAACCAAATGGTATGTGCGCTTCCGAATATTCCCGTGCTCTAAAGAACATTGTTCAGCACATTGTCGAGAAGCAGCCAGAGCTTAGTTATGCAATATGCAATAGTAATGTCGCATTTGCGCTGCAGGATCTCTAATATAATAATAATAACACAAATGTACCTCTGGGATTGAGAGCCATTTGGAATTCAGCCAACTTCGCACGTGCTTATTGGCGCACCACACATCAAGACTACGTAGCTTTGATTCCGCTTCACGGTAGTGTCTGAAACACAGGAGCAAATCCATGGTATTATACGCACATACCACAAAGCATTTGCAACATCAGGGGAACTCAAAACTTGAATTAGCGAAAAACTCTACAAATGCAAAGGCTCAAGATGTTCAATCTCATACTTTTCTGGAGATTGCCCCGCCTCTCGACACGGTGAAGCATAAGCCAATTGTCGCAAGCTTTCTAGCAGTGTTACGGCTTCATCATCACTTAGGCCGTGGGAACGGTCTTTGGTCCAGCGCTGCCAAGCCTGCTCTCTGTGGAAGTCACAGAGAAATATCCTCCCTCCAGGGAAAACCTATAGTTCCATCAAGCACACAAAGATACGTAGAAACATGCGAATACATGCGGAAAATAAGATTGCTGGAAAAATAATGACCTTCTACTACTAGAAGAACTCTGATGGTGAGCCAAGGAAAAATTTGGAACATGGAAAGTGTGGGCACTTGTCAGTTTTGTGCTAGATTGTGCACGTCTGACTGTTAAAAATCTGGTTTAGTTGGTGGACTCGATCGCATAACTCGTGCCCACAATTCCATGTTACAAACTTCAAATATTACTTAATCATTGGTTTGAGGGAAAGATGCAAGCGGGAAAAGTCAGAAGAAAAATTACTGTCACCACGAGGACCTCCTACTCATTTATTTTTTAAATTCTCATATGGTAATCATACCTAACCAACAACCATAGCTTGCTTGGTGATGCCAACGCGAACAAGCTTATAATAATGAAAACAATAACCGTACTGAACTATGCACAAAGGTGAGCCGGTTTAATAATGCACACACCTCCAAAAATTCTAAATAAATCAATCTAATTACCTCCTCCAGTGCAAGCATCTCAGCCTGGGAATAATCCGTCATAAAGAATTTAGGTTTCCAAGACGGAGTCCGTTGCTTGATTATAGTGAGAGCTTCAGCTATATCAGCGTGTTTCTCGGATTGCACACAGAATTCTACACACAGTGAAATTAAACCAGACAGGAAAACTGCTATTCCTTTGCAAGACTTAAAAAAGGTGAAAGAAGACTCATGTTCTTTGAGGGTGCCAAGCCCAAAAAGACAACTGAGAGGAACCATGAATCATGAACAGTAATTGAAGTCTTGTGCTCTCCATCATTCCAAGCCAAAAAGACAACTGAGAGGAACCATGAATCGTGAACAGTAATTGAAGTCTTGTACTCTCCATCATTGCAAGCCACTTACCTGCCACAACGATGTGGCCTGTATTAGTGTGCACAACCAGGAAAAACAAGGCCAGGTCATAGCACGTTGTGCGGTATGTAGCGTCCATAAGAACGAGCTCGCCATACTTTACTAGAAGCTCTCTTTGCCATACCTCCTGGTGTATTACCAGGAGGCGTGAAGAGGCTGGCACGGGATCCACTAGCGGTTCGTCATCACCGCCGCCGCTGCCCTTATACCTGTGTCAGAAATTTACAACATCACAAGGTTTACAACAAGTCTCTGTCAGAAAGGCAAAAGTCGCTTACCAATGTCAGTGGCCAACAAAGCTTTGTTAGGGCATTCCGGCTGTTGTTAATTTTGGTACTGCTCTGAGCCCACGCACTTACAATCAGCACTTGCAAGGAGCAGTTGCAGGCATATTAAATAGATACTAAATAGCATATAATTATTATAATGTACCTTCCATCACTGGGTTCCAAGTCACTTTCAGCTTCCAAGGAAAGAGCTGGTGCAGCACTGCACTCTGATGGTTCTGAATCTGGCACATATGGCCGGAACTGCATAAGCGCAGGTGGGCGGGGGGACTCAGACCATGCCTTCACCTGGAAGGAAAAGAAAACAGGTGGATCGGTACTCCTGTAAAACCACTAATGTTAACGAACACTTAAGGTTATGTGCAAAAATGTACGTATACAGTCATTACATTTCACCTCGTTGCGTTGACCAACAAAATGCAGAGATCGCTAACTTTAATTGACGTTCAAATATCAGGTCTTCCAGTATTGATTTTATTCTTCGCGAAAATATTGTAGTATCGCTTGAATTGGGAAATGTCTGATGTAACCCAAGCAGGTTAGAATTGATAACAGAATGCACGAACACCGTTTCTCTTCGTATCCATACTCACCTTGTGAGCCAACTGAGTCTGGTCCAGTCTAGATTGCTGCAGCTTATGGGTAGCCAGGGCTATGTGGGAGCGGATGTCCTTTAGCTCTGGGTGGTACGCCCGGCCAAATTCCTGGGCAGTAGACAATGCATATCCGACATAGGTCGTATTAAAGGAGATTGCCTTCCCTTTATCACAGGAAGTTATCACGTGCATTAACTACCGTCTAACCACAATGGTCAGTGCACAGCAACAAGAATGCGTACAGAAAGCTATCAAGTGACTATTGGGTGATTGAGCACTGAAGATTGTTCTCTATGGAAGTACTTACATGCCTATAGTCCACTTTGAACATGGTCTGGATAGCCCGGCCATCTCCTAGACCACTCTCGACGAGTTGGAGAATTCGGTCGATAACCGACTGACTGAGTCTTTGGCTGAGCTCGCTGGCGAGTTTACCTTTCTCGGTAATGACATCATGACCACTGTGACTACCCTCAGTTGGGTAGCTCACGATAAACCTAGTGGGCATGCACATACGTGAAAGACTTTTTATTGGTGATTCTGCAGAGCTACGTACATTACACATACTATGGTACCATACAACTGGGTTAATTGGCCTACGTACCTTACATGGCAAGTGTGGCATTCATACATGAACTACCGATCACTGTACACAATCAATTACTTTCGCACTATGACATAAAAAGGTATGTTATAATGTTAGTATAACTCACCGATCGCACACATTGAGTTTGGACAGGTCGCCAGCATCGAGAGCAGCCAAAATAGATATCTTAAGCTCCTTCACTTTACCCGCTTTTGCTTTTACCGAGGCGGAAGCAGAAAGACCAGTTGAGTCAACCGAATAAGCGGGGAGTCGCAGAATGCGACGAATGTTGCACGATGCCTCACATCCAATTTTTCTTGTCCCTATAAGAATTACAGGGCATACCACAGTGACATCAACATGCAGTACAACTATAAGCTGGGTGCATTACTGCTGGATAGTGGCAAAGATTCCTTATTCGTATCTTTGTATAGCAGTTGACATGATGACATGTAGAACAACAATTAAAAAAAACCGATGCCTAGCTTTACAGCAATGTGCACCAAAAAGATAACCATGACTCTGGGTATGCTTCTGACCTTGGAGTTTTATCCTCTTCTTCTTCTTCTTCTTATCAGCTGAGGCTTTGGGGTAAGAATGATCAGATGCTGAACTCGTTACATCATCAGAGGACTCGGTGGATTTTGTGGTGTGGCACCTGTAATGTTACCAACACAACAACACTTGGTCACTGACAAAGGTGATGCAAAGGAATCAAGAGATAGTACAACTGTTCTCATTGGTAACTAGCAATTGCATGAAATAGATCACATTCAGATTCTTCCTGCCCATTTAATTCCATTACCTGTGCTTCCCAAATTGACATTCTAGTATGCGAAAGCCACAGCAGACGAACGGAACTCCATCAAAAGGAATCGGTGCACAGCTCGTGCCACGTTCCTGGCTCCATATGAACCCCTTTGGACGCAGAATGGCCTCCTTGAAGATCTCTTCAACACTGCAACATTTGTGGACATAGCACACATACATGTACGAGACGTTATAATTATACCAGCAGTCATTACTGTTAATCCAGTGACGACGCTATGTACACTGCAAAGATATGCGTTGGAAAATGGTTAGTTATGTTTTGGAATACAGTGGATGTGAGGTCTTCTTGCTCAACAGGGAATCAAATTAGAGCCTGATTCCCAAAACATGATTCAGCACCCTGGGTGTAAGGTTTCGTACCCTGCTCAACGAACTAACAGACAGCATGACCATCAATTGTTTTGATGCATCCTTACCATACTTCGTTCCAATGTTTCTAATACCGTAATGTCGCGTATAACAGCAAACCGGGGTCCAAACCATGCTTCTATTCAAGTTATGCTTCTATTCGAAATATGCTTCTACGTCAACATCATTCTGCACTGTGCAGTGGATACTGCCACGCATGTACTCGCACATGTACTTTACAGGGAGCGGCTTCTATTCAAACCAACTGTGTTACAGCGGGCTTCAAAAAAATCGGCTTCTATTCGAGTCATGCTTCTATACAGGTCATGCCTTTTATACGCGACACTACAGTACGTGGGATGGGTGCAGT